CTGGCTGCTGAGGCACCTGAGGAAGAGGCACCCCCACCCAAGGCTTCGGCACCTGTTGGGCAGCCCTGGGGAAGCCGTCTCCCCAGCCTTCCTTATGGTGTGACTCTAATCCAGTCCAACACAGAGCGGGCCTTGTGCCACTCAGGACCCCAGCCCTGCCTCACAGACGCCCTGGTTAGTCAATTGACCAGCCTGTCACTGTCACCAACTCTGAAGGACGGGGAGGAGGGCTGAGCCCAGCGCGAGGCTCCAGGCAGCGCGGGGAAACCACAGTGTTCTCTGGGGTGGGCAGACGTGGCTGGGCCTGATGGTTGAGGCCTCGGCGGTGGCCGAGGGACCCACACCCGGCCGTGTAGGTCCAAAGCTGGACACTGAGTCATCTCAGGGCCCCCCAGGGTGGAGCAGGAGATGACAGCCTCAGCAGCAGACTGCCGGCGGCCACCCCCAGACCCCTCCCCATCGCCTAGTCAGACCCCTCCCCCAGCCCAACCGAGAAGCAGACCCCCACTGCAAGAGGGCTGCACTCACCTGGCCCACAGGTTGGCCCCACTGGCATCCAGCCCTCCTGGGGAAAGACCCTTGGCCTGGGGCCCAGAGCAGTGGGCGGCGAGGGACAGGAGGAGGGTGAGGCCCGAGCTCTGCAGGGCACCTGGAATAAGGCAGGCTCTGAGGGTCCCGGTGGGAGCAGGGGCCGGGGCATCTGGGTCCCAGGGTGGACCTGTGACCCCCACCATGGGGGCCTCCTTGAGACCAGAAGACACGGAGGAACTTCCGGAGCCCCACAGCACGGGCCGCCTGTGCACAGCCTGGGCCTGAGTGCGGGGCGTGTCTGGTGGTGTATGCACAGGCGAGAGGCTGTGGACGTGTGTAGGCACGCACGTGTAGGTGACGGTGTGCACGGGTAGCACAGGCGTGAGGCTGTGGACACATGCAAGCACGCACAGGTAGGTGACGGTGTGCACATGTAGGTGACTGTGCATGTGTAGGTGGCAGTGTGCACGGGTAGGTGACAGTGTGCACGGGTAGCACAGGCATGAGGCTGTGGACATGTGCAAGTACGCACAGGTAGGTGACGGTGTGCAGGGTAGGTGACTGTGCATGTGTAGGTGACAGTGTGCACGGGTAGGTGACGGTGTGCACCGGTAGGTGACGGTTGTGTGCATGACTCTGGCGGCATGTGCACATGTGCACCCGTGTTGCACACGTGTGAGATGGCAGGTGTATGTGTGAGCTCCTTCTCCCTCTAGCCAGATGCCCCGTGGCTCTGTGTCCTCACAGTGGAGCCCTGAGACCCCCAAGACAGAGGAGGTGTGGGGGCAGAAGCCACCTTCAAGGGCCCCAAATGCTCAGTTCTGCAGTGGGGGTCACAGCAAGGCCTCCTCGCAGGAACTGGGGGCCCAGCCCATGTTCCTGCTTTGGAAACCCAGCCCAGGAAGGGGGTTCGGGTGCAGGGGAGCCCCCTTATCTTGCTGGCCCTGGGGAGACCATGTGAAGTCTCTTTTCCAGCAGGCATAGAGCAGGAGTCGCCACAGCCCACACAGATCTGCCCACGGCCTCCTGGGCTGCTGGGGCCTGGCCCACCCCTCTCAGGGAGGGTGAGGCACTGGGCAACCCTGGGCATGGCCAGGGTCCCTCCCCACCCTGGCCTTAGAGCCTGGCCCTGCCTGTGCCCGGGCTGCCCAAGAGAACGGTGTCTCCACTCACCCCTGCCCCCACCATTTCGCCAGAAGCCATATCCAGCTGCCTGGGCCAGGAGTGGCCCCTTCTAGCCAAGCTTGCCTGCCCTGCCTCACCCTCCCAGGACCCCCATGCCTGCTGGGGTTGGCTGGGCTCACTGTGCCCTGGCAGCCCCCCCACCGGCCGGCTGCTGCTGGGCAGGGCCCACCTCCTCCTTCCTTGGCTTGGGACAGACCCTGGCTCAGGAAAATGGGGTGACCAGGGCCCTGGGCACTCCCACGTCTGCGGGATGGTTTTGCCACGTGGGCCTGGCACTGTGGAGGCCCCCCTTCTGCATGGAGGTCTCGTCTCACCTACTCTGGGGCCCATGTCTGTGCGGCGGCGTGTGCTCGTCCTCCTGGCTGAGACGTTCCAGGGCAGGAAGGTGCTGGGGCCACGGGCAGTGGGTCCAGGACTAGCTGGAGAAGTGTGACACAGGCAAGACACAGGTGAGAGACACAGGCTGGCCCCACACTGCCTCCCACCCCCTGGGGTGTGGAGAGGGAGGGTGCAGTCCGGGCTCACCCGGGGCGGCGGGGCCAGAGCTGCGGCTCTCCCACCTTCAAGGGGGAAGGATCCCATAAACAGTAAAGTGCAGCAGAGGGACCAGGAGCCGGCGAAACCCTGGGCCTTTCTTATCACAGGTAGGGGCCTAGGGGACCCACGGGTTGCTGCGTCTCCAGCCAACAGCGAGTGCCTCAGGCAGCCTCGTGCACCCCGGCTTTGTCCCCACACCCAGCCGCCCTGGCAGCTCCCTTTCCCTCTTTGAGCCCCAGATGTCCGGCTCTGTCGCTGAAATCTGGCCCCCAGTGGCAGCTGGGGTAGCCTCAGCCACGCTGGAAATGGAAGCTGCAAGGCCAGAGGAGTCAGGGTCTCGGTACTGCTGCGGGCCACCGCCTCCTCCTGGAACCAGCCTGGTGGCCTTTGGGCACCTCTGGGCCTCCTGACTGTGGCCCAAGAGAGAGACAGGGAGGCTGCCCCACGCAGAGGCAAATGCAGTGGCTTGGGACCGGCCCTGCGGTGGGCTGGTGGTGGCTCCCACCCACCCTTCTCACCTGAGCAGAAACCCTGGGTGCAGCAGGGGAGGTGCTGCCGGGCTGTGGGGTGGCTGCTCCGGGCAGGGAGTTGCGGACCAGGTGCTCCAGACGCAATCCCAGCCCGCCAAGTGCATCAGCTGCTGCTGCTGAGCGCCCGGGTGCAGAGACGGTGCAGGGGGGATGCTGGGGTCCCTGCTCACCTCCACGCCGGCCTGGCAGGCGGCATGGGACTGCCCCGCCCCGCCCCACTCCCACAGTGACGCCCGCTTGGCAGTCCTGTGGGGGAGGCCCAGGCTGTGCCCGGTGATGCACCGTGTCAGCCCCTGGGGACCTCGGGCACAACAGGCACCTACTCCCTTCCCCCACAGCGAAGGCTGAGCTCACAGCTGGCAGCGGCCCAGCTCATGCTCCTCCCTGCCCACCAGGGCTCTGCTCTGCAGTCTCTGCGCCCCAGGGGTCGTGCTGCACACCTGCATCTGAGTCCGTCATGTTTGCTGATGCCTGCGTGTATAGGTGCATCTCGGGCCTCCTGGTCTGTGTGCCCAGGAGCATGGACACGGACACACTGTGTCCCTGTGTGGGGACATCAGGCACACGACGACCCAATGCAGTGGCCAGGCATGGTGATAGCTGCGGTCATTCTGTGGGTACCACAACACAGAGCTGGGCAGGCAGGAACACCCGTGTGAGCACTGTGGGGCTCCACCAGGCAGGCCAGGGCGGGAGTACAGACAGGAGGGAGTTCCCAGCCCGCCTGCCAGGCTTCTCCCCTCACTGGGACGGGGTGTTGGGTGTCCCAGGCTGAGCCCCAACCTGGCCCACCTACCCCACCTCTCATCTTGGGAGGGGCTCAGCCCCTGGTTGGCAGGACCACAAGGGCTCCAAGACCCTGGGATCCTGCAGCTCAGGTTCAGCTGTGGCATGACCACCCCCTGCACCAGAGCTATGGGTGCCCAATGAGCCAGCCCCATGGCCAAGCTGAGACTTAATCCCTGCTCTGGGTCTTGTGGGGGCTGACAGCGGGGGGACTGGTGGGTGACCGCTCCCCAGGCCTGTACAGGCCCACGGGAACCCAGGTGCCCCTCTGAGAGCTCCAGGCTGACACTGAGGCATGGGCACCACGAGGGACGGCACTCGGGAGGCCTGGCTTGTTGAGGAGGGTCCGGCTCAGGTCAGGCCTTGAAGGCCCCTTGGCCGGCCACCAGCTGGGCCAGCCCAGCTGGACACAGCGGCTCCAACAGCTGCAACCGGTCGCAGTTAGGGGCAGTGAGGTCAGCAGCCCCCAGTCCAGAGGGGTGGGGTCCTGTGGGGCAAGGTGGGGAGACAGTCCCACTGGAGAGGAGAGCCGTGCCTGGCTCCGACTTGGGCTGATTCAGACAAGGACCAGGAGGAAGCCCGGAGACAAGCCAGCCCTGGGGGAGGGGAGGCCAGGGCCAGGCGCCCAGAGTGGACACATCCCCGGGCTGGCCAGGGAGGGGCCTGGAGAGCGACGGGTGTGCTGGCCGGGAGGGCTTCGCTGCTGCTCTCTGTTGGGGTCGCCCAACTGGTGCTACTTGAGGGTTATGTGGTCTTTTCGGATCTGCACCAGCCCCTTCCTTTACAGATGAGGAAACTGAGTCATCGGAGCAGCAGCAGTGAGCCCAGGGTCTGTGGCCTCGCCTCAGGGACTCTAGGGCTAGAACCCGTATCTCGGCTGAGGGCACGGTGGCAGCTGCCTCCGGTCTGGGGCCTAGTGGGGACTCCGGGTCTGGAACCCATGTCTTGGCTGAAGGCACAGCGGCAGCTGCCTCTGGTCCAGGCCCTGCTGCTGTCACTGCTGGGGTCCTAACCAGGGTTCCAGGGCTGGCCCTGGAGCTGGACAGTGGCAGGCAGGGGCCAGGCAGACCTGAGACCAAGTGCTGGCCCATGAGACGCCCCTTCCACAGAGCTCTGAGACGCGGGGGGCCAGGCCGCTCTCTGGCCCCAGGCCTGGGCTGACCCAAGGGCCTGGGCTCTATGAAGGTCCCTGGCTGGGCCCAGCTGGGTGCTCCCGCGGTTCTGGTTGTGGGGGCTGGGGGTCATCAGGGGCCTGCCCAGGCCAAAGCTGCAGAGTGCTTGCCGTCTGCAGGAGAGGCCGATATGAGCCAGAAGCACTGTGTCTGTCCCAGGTCCTGCTGGGACCTCAGGGCAGGAAAGAGAGCTAGGAAGGGTCTGGGTAGCCAGACCTGTCCCTCGGAAGCCCGGCTTTGGACACGTTCACGGTCACCCTTGAAGCCAGTCAGTGAGCATTTATTTGGAGTCCCTGGAGCCCTGCTGTAACCAGGAGCCCGGGCTGTGGCGTGGGGGACAGAGGAGGTGAGACCTGGCAGGCCCACAGCTCCCAAACTGGGGTCCCGGAGGCAGAGGAACAATGCACGGCTATGTGGGAGCCAGGCAAGCGGTGACATGGCAGAACTGTTAGCAGGGGCCCAGGAGACTGCAGCAGACTGGTGCTCACGGCGGATATGAGGGACGGGAGTGCGTGGCAGGGCCTTGGCCATGGCCCCTGACCAATGTCTGTGCAGCAAGCACCACACTGAGCTCAGAATTCGGGCGGAGAGGGAGCCACAGATACAGTGAGGCCGAGGCACACACGGCCGGGCATGCACACTCGACCCCAGCAGGAACTGTTGGGTCTCGGGCGGAGGCAGCCGAAGGCAAGAGGATCTGCAGAGCAGTGAGGGGCAGAGGACTCAGGGACCAGATGGGTCTCCCAGGCCAGGTGAGCTCAGAATGGCCCTTCCCAGCCCCTCTAGGGGATAGGTTGGGGCCAGTAGCTGACTGGGCCCAGGAGTGGCCCACCCTGGAAGCAAAGGCAAGGCCAAAACCTGGCCCTGCCTCTTCAGTCCATAAAACTGACACCCCTGGGGTGAAGCTTGGGATCCAGAAGCTATTCCAGGAGAAGGGAAGGACCTCGGTTTCTCCCGGGCCACATGGGTAGGAAGGTCCTCAGGATCCAGCATCAGTCCCACGGCCGCAGTGCGATGTCGTCGCCTGTGATCACGGCTGCCTGGCGCCCCCTGCTGGCCCCACCTCAGCCCTTCCCCGCAGGCCTGGCCAGGGCAGCCCAGCGGGCCTGATGTTCCCGGGCACCTGGAGGCCCCAGAGCTGGTGATCACACGCTTGCTCGTCCGTCTCCCTAGAGCTCTGCTGTGCAGCTGCCACCCCCCGCCCCAGCCCCACGGCTCTCAGCTGTCCGGCTCCAGCGTCCACTCTGACAGCCACTGCAGGCAGGGGCCCCGCTGTGCCTCAGTCTCAGGGGGCTTGGTGGGGGGTGGAGGGGGCCGGCCAGGCCCAGGCAGGAGTGTGGAGGGGCTGCCTGGCCTGGGGCCCCTGTCCTCGGGGTCAGGGTCAGGGGTGGCCCGTAAGGCCTGCACAAGCTGGTCCAGCGGCTGCAGCAGGGTGTGGGGGCTCCAGCAGGCGTCCAGGGAGGGCAGGAAGGGGTCAGGCGTGCAGACCTCTACACACTCGGCGTCGGTGGGGATGCGCAGGTAGAAGGCGTGCAGCATCATTCTGAACGGTCGGTCCTCCTGGCCCGAGGGCTCTCCGTAGGTCAGGTCGCCCACCACGGGGTGGCCCAGGGCACTGCAGTGCACGCGCAGCTGGTGTGTCCGGCCTGCAAGGCGAGGGTGCCGCTGGATCAAGTGGGGGGCGGGGCTGCTCCACACGGACCTCCCTGACCAGGCCCCACCTCCTGTCATGACCCCACTGCAGCCTTGGAGCAGCCCCTTGGGGTGGAACTCTCCCTGTCCTCTGCCACGGGCGAGGACATCAGTGTTCGGGGCAGGAGACTGCATTCAGGTCACCACTGATGAGGACAGGGCCGGAGTGGCACTTGGTCCTGGAGAATCCAGGCCAGTCAGACCCCCCAGGACTCAGTCAGGAGCCAGCAGGGACCCTGTGTCAGGGGGGAAGCTGAGAGGCTGCAGAACATAGAGTTAAGAACACAGGAGCGCTTGTTACCAACTCTGCCTTGATGCTCAGGGTGGCCCAACACGGGCTACGTGGCCCCGTGTCTCAGTTTTCCTTCTGTCACCACCAGGACACCGCCCACCCCAGACACTGCCAACCCCAGACACACCCGTGAGTGGCTTCAGCAGCACTTTGGAGACAGGATCGCCTGCGTACAGCCCGTGTTCCAGAACCACGAGCTCCGTGAGGCTTGGCTTTGGGTTCTCACAACCTGGGGCGCAGATGGCATGTGTGAGGTCAGCGGGACCAGCCCGAGGCCCAGGCTCACCCACCCTAACCCACGATGCCCGCCCAGTTGGTCCCTGCCTGCCCAGGCCCACCCCAACCCACAATGCCCGCCCAGTTGGTCCCCGCCTGCCGCACCCTGCGTGCCCTCGATGCACATGGTGTGGGCCCGGCCTTCCGTGCCGTTCCTGCCGATGGCATGGCTGATGGTCACCCGGCTCTCCTGGATGTGCCCCCGCAGCTGCAGGACAGGGGAAGTCACACAGTTCACGGGGCAGCCCGCCACTGCTGGGGAGCCCACCTAACACCAGGCAGCCATGTAGAGGTTGGTGGGAGGCTCTGAGCCAGGGCCTGCCCAAGTGCAGTGGGAGTCCTGAGTCCCCACGCCCCACCCCACGACTGACCAGGTCTTACCAGTGCCAGGTAAGCCTTGGTCACGCGCCGCTCCTTGAAGCACCTGTATGCGCTGCCGGCAGCTGCCTTGTTTAGGGCCACACACAGTGCCCCACTGGTGGAGAAATCCAGCTGGTGGCAGAACCTGGGATGGGGCAGAGTCCAGCGTCTGAGCCACTTTCCTCCACTGACGCTGCCGTGGGGCTGTGGCCGCCCCACCTACCTGAACCCGTAGCAGGTGTCCGGGTCGGCCAGCTCCGGGAAGCGGTGCCGCAGCTGCTTTTGTAGCGTCAGAGTCTCCCGCCACGCCTTGCTGTCAATGCGAACGTCCCAGTGCTTGTTGACCACCAGGAAGTCGCGGCTCCGGTACACGATGGACAGGTTCTCCACGCTGCCCGGCTCCATGGCCGGCCTGCCGAGCCACGCGTGGGTGCGTGTGCTGTGAGCACGTGGGGGGCGCCCAGTACAGCAGAGGTCCCCGCACCCCCTCACTCGGGCTCCGGTGCGAAGCCACAAGCCAGGTGCGCAGCCCTACTATGCACCTGCATCCTCAGTCCCCAAGATCAGGCCGGGGCGTCAGCTGGGGGATCAGGGAGTCAGCCTGGGACGTGTCTGACCCAAGGCTGGAGAAACAGCCCGTTCC